TATTGGTCGTTAGCAGCACAAAACAGTCGTTCTTTTGGCTGTGCGTCTTGTTTTGACCGAGCTAGAGCTAAAAATCCGAGAAAAATTTTGGTTCCTGATTTTTCAGCCCTCAAAACAGAGCTCCCACTAAAATATCAGAACAATAACGATAAAAGCAAGTATAGGGTTGTTGAGTTTCGGTAGTTAGCTGCATAAAACAGTCATTGTTTCAGCCATGCGGCTTGTTTTGACAAAGTTAGAGCTAAGGAACTGCAAAAACACCGTCCTCTCTGCTGTCAACCGACGTATACGTGATTTGGACGCAAAAATATCAGTCTTTTGGCCATAGCACAGCCAAAAATGGCCCAAATGAGGAATGTAATACCTCGTACGGCTCGTAATTTGATTCCTATGATTCCCAATTGGTTTGCATTTAAATCTGGGAAACTTCATTTTGGGCCCATTTTTGAAAATTTTGATGATGGTACCCCTTATCAAAAATGCGAAATTTGGGCCAAAATTGATTTTCCCAAAATCGAAAAACGAGTGATAGGGGTGGTTAGTATTGGTCGTTAGCAGCTGTGCGTCTTGTTTTTACCGAGTTAGAGCTAAAAAACCAAAAATATTGTTGCATATTTCTGTTGAAAAAAGATTTCCTGATATTTTAGGCATTCAATCAGAGCTCGAACCAAAAAATCAGAACAATTAGGAGAGAAGCAAGTATGGGGGTTTACAGTTTTGGTTGCTAGCTGCATAAAACAGTCATTTTAGCCACGGGGCTTGCTTTGCTAAAGTTAGAAAAAAAAAGTATACTACAGCTTCTAAAGCAGGGATTGTGTACACTATTAAAATGATAGCATTCTGTTCAGTTTCGCCGTAGGACATATTTTAATAAGAACCTGCTAGTATTAACTGACACTGAACTTTATTACCTGTTTATTTCCAGCAAAAAATAAAACGCATTTGTAGACATATATTTTTCCTTGTTATTTTATTGAAAATATTTACTTGCATTTTTTTGTGTTTAATTTTTCGTAATACCAGGATTATACCGTATTATGCGCAACACAAATTTAAATTCCCAATCAAATTGCAATCAAGCCTGGAAAACTCGAATGTTAACCATTTATCGCAAAGTTTGATAATGTTATTATTACATTAATATTAAATTTGTCAAAAAATTAAAGTCTTAAAATCATTAAAAAAATTATGGGGATCGCTAGTTTTGGTTGTAAGCTGTCGATTTCTTACCTTTTTCACTGCATATGATTAAACCTAAAGAAATAAGACATCTGAAATATGTTTAAATATTATCTTTTCATTTATTTAGATTCATTAATGTTTCATTTTCATTTCTCGTCTGTATTCCATACTCATTCAAATCGGTTCATAATGTCATCTCCTCATTGTTTTATCAATTATCAATTGCCCATGCGGTCTTTTTTTAATGCCAAACAGAGTGACTTTTGTTCTTAGATTTCATTAATATTACTTACTCTTGCATGCAATTATGTATTTGACTTTGGTTTTTTTTTTGTTTTTCTCTTGGTTTACAGAGTAGATTTTCATTAATTTCATTAATGATTACGCTTTTCACATACATAACTACATATATATACATTGAATATACATATATATGTATATGGTAATTCTGAGAGAGACGAAACATAACTGAAACAATAACGAAACAACAAAAGCCAGCTCGTAACTACATATATATATATTATCATTTATTTTGGGTGACTTAGCCCCTGGGGTAGCCCTATTTTTTTTAGTGGTAAATTATTTGCCGATTTTCCGCATTCTTTTTTCTCTTGTCGGTTCGAAATCCCCAGAATTTTGACCTAGCAAATCGCTTTTCCTTTCAATATTTCTGTGTGTGTATTGTGTATATATGTTTCCTATGTAGTTGTTGTGGGTGAGCTTTTTGTAAATGTAATTGTATAAATTTCCAAAAAACAAAAAAAAATGCCTAACTGTTTGCCCAGTAACGCCAGCGTTACGTGATCTATATGTATATAATATCTCCCGATTATCCACACGAATGAAATGTCGACTTGAAAAACGAAAGGCCCGTTTTCCTTCGGCATTTCAGGCGGCATATCCATTTCTTTCCTTCATTTATTTTCTTCTAACAACCGTCGTCGCCAGCGGACAATTCATGGTATTTTTTTTTAGTATTATCTTTAGTATATTTTGTTGTATATTTGTTTGTGTTTGGTTTCATTCTTTGCGTTTTGCAATCCGTCTTTGGTGTTTTTCTCATGTCATTATAGTACAAAACTTGCCATTTTCAATATCGTTTGTATTATTTTCTCTCTCTTCTTTTTTAATTTTTTTTTTTTTATTTTTTGTATTGGTATTTTTTCCAAGTATATGGTATCTGGTATTCTTTTGTTTTGTCGTGGCCTGCTTTATATAGTTCATAGATACATATATTGTAATATATATTTATATATATATTAATGTATAGTTATTTAAGTTATCTCAAAAAAAAGTTCTCTTTTACGGCTAACAGCACAACAAACAGTTATCATTTGGTTTTCTTTCGGCAACATTACTCATAATTTCCCAAAAAAATTGGCCAACCTGTGCTACAAATGCTGATCTCTCGTTACCCATATAAATATGTACTTTTTTTCTTATATATATATATATATACATATATATATATATATATATATATTTGTATATATGTATATATATATATATATATATATAAATATATATATCTGCATATATGTATATATATATATATATGTGTGTATATATATCCCTCTATGTAAGTATCCTTGATGACACATGACGACGCTACATAACTCTATGTCTGCATATATGTATGCGGTATTTCTTTTTTAAATAGTTATATACACTGATATAATTGGCGGCACGTCAATACGGAAAAAAAAACAGACAAAAATACAGGAGGAACAGGGGTTCATACGCATCAAGTGCCTCTACTAAACGAATCAATTTCAGTCAAAAATTGAGTGGGGGATACTAAGATATATGCCTATATAACTTGCTTGTATCTTTCGGTTTTGCTTGGCATTTTTGTAACAATTACATTTAGATACTCCTCGATTTTGTTTTTTTTTACCTATAAATTGCTTCTTCTTATGGGAGAGGATGATTTTCTTGTTTGAAGGGCAGAGGTTTGGACTTTACGTTTATCGAATTACACATACACGTACAACATCTAGTTAGGTTAAGTTTCAACTCGAGTATACATCAAATGTCCGTTATCTGCATCATGTATGCCTAGTATATATATATATATATATATATATATATATATATATGTATATATATGTGTATATGCATATCAATTTAAATGTTTGGTTAATACTCTGGTAAATTACATAATCGTATAGCTATAGCTATGTACCAGTATTTTGTTTTTTGGGAATCTCTCTAGTATTTTGTTTTTTTTTTTTTTGGTTTTTCCAGATCTATGGTTCTACGGAAAGCAGGGAAATTCGTGTTACAAATACAATATATATAGTAGTTCATTTTCTTCTGCTTTTCATTATAATTTTCTTTTTGTGAGAGGAGAAAAAAGTCATTTGGTTTTGTTTTTTTGTTTTTCTTTCTTTTATTTATTTCACTCAATTTGTTAAAGTAGCTTTATGTTTTTTTTTATGTTTTATTTAAGTTTGCCATGGACTTGCCGTCATTTTTGTTTTTTTCGCAACTATGGTTTAATTAATAATATATGTATGTAGGTAATATATCTTGCTGTATTTACTGAAGGTTGATTAAGTTTCGAAAAAAGTAATTCTGAAGCGCACATTTACAATGCTGCTTAAATTGCTATAAAGTATCTCTTGTTCTTCTTAAACTTTTCATCTCGATTTCTTTTTTTTTTAATGATATTTTTAGACCATCAAGGTTTCATTTCATTTCATTACATTTCATTCACGTATCATATTATATAATATATATATATTATTATATATATATATATATATTTAAAAAAAAAACACTATTTTATGCGCGGATCCTGCCCGCTTAAACACAAAAAAGAAATGTATAGCACTAGGTCTGAAAAAAATAATGTTTTTGTTTGGGTAATAAATTAATAACAATAAAACATAATATTAAACAATAAAGTTAAATTATGCGCGTTTAGAATTTGGCCTGCCACATTGATCGATCCGCGCACCAGCGCCAGTATCGTGACTTTACATATGCATATAGTATATATATCTATATATATCTGTATAGGTTAGGTATAAATAATCATATTATAGCCAATGACTTTTTCGGTTTATATATTGTTTTAAGTTTTAGTTTTTTTAGTTATAGGTTTGTGTTTGCTTTGCTTTGGTTTTGCATTTGGAAAATTAAAAAATTGCTTGTGCTTGAAGAGTCTTTTCTGGTGGTTTGTGGTTGTGTAAATTGTGTGTGTTTTTTTGTTAACCAGTTAAGTTTGTTTTTACTAAATTCATCAATTGTACCTCTCTCTTTCTCGTCCGGATGTCTTGTCTCTTTCGTTTTGAAATTGTGTGGTTCAGTAAGTGGCTTACTAGCTAGGAAATAATCATATAATGTAATATATAGCAAAAAATATTTGCGAAGACAACGTTTGATATTATTTTCGGTTTATCTCTCCCGATTTTCATAATTTTCTTAACATTTTGTTTTTTTTTTTGGAAGAAAATCCAATTGCAATTTAAATTGAAAATTGAAATGGAAATTTTTTTTAGTTAATTGTACAATAGTTTTCCTTTCCACATCTTTTTTATTCTTCTCCATTTACTTCCTTATTTATGTGTGTGTTTTTGGCTTTGTTTTCATTTTAGTTTTAGTTTAGCTGCAACATTTGCTAGCAGCTTGATTTAAATTCGAGTCCAACATTTAAATTATTTACAAATAATATTAAAAAAAAAAATATTTATATCATATATATTTACTATACAACTACAGTCTGGCTGTAGACTGTTATTTTTTTGTTTCATTCTTGTTTGGGTTCTGGGGTATGAGGATTTGGATTTAAATTTAAATGGTTTCAACTCGGGTGGCTTTCAATTTTGGTTTAATTCACTGGGATTCTTACATTTTACATGGTTGCTTAGTTCGCTTTTATCGCTGGGGTCTAAATTATATTTAAAAAAAACTTCAGAAGATGCTGTTATCGTTTATCGGTTATCAGTTATCAGTTAGATCTAACTTTATCAATCAAGTAAAATGAATCTGTGTAGGGGCATGCAAAACATTAAAAACTTAAAAACTTCTCTTAAGCTAAATAGTATTAATTTTATCCTTTCCGTTTGGTTGTTTTTTTTTTCTTGTTTAAATATTTCACTTTAGTCAATGGTTTAAAAGAGGAGACTTTGTTTTTAGGGGGTTTCCCCCCCCGATTGATGTCCTACTTCAGATGAATTTAACAAAAATCATTTGCCTACACATGCAACAAAAATCGTCTATATAATGGGATTTTTTTTTTTGGGAGCGGGGAGTTTTGGGATCTTCTTAGTATTACTTATAAATGGGGGTTCTCATTACCTTTGCTTTGTCTTGGATTTAGTCTGCGTGTTTTTTGGGTGTGTGTTTAAGTTTAACAATATGTAAGATTTCTCTTAGCTAGCTCTTCTCCTCCTGTTTCTTTCAGTGTATTTTCAACATCAATCTCGGTTTTTCCATTAAGTAAATTTCTAATTTCCTTTTTCTCTAGGCTTTATAAGTTAAACGGTACTTTTGCTATTGCTGTTTGGATTTTTGTATGCTTTTAACATTTGTTTAATATTTCCTTAGTTGGCTTTTGTTTTTTTTTTTTTTATTTTTTTTTTTGCATTTTTCCAAGAGTTTTTCTTTGTTTTTTTTGTAGTTTTTCGTTTTTGTTTTGTGTGTTAATAGTAGTCACTAACGTAATAGGAAAAAGTTGTGAGCCTTTTCCTGTAATTTGCGATAAATTCCGACGACTCTCCGTCACATTCCACCGTGTTGCGGTTGGTTTTGGCAGCCACCCGTCCTGGGAGCCACGCCCCCTCCAGCACCGCCGCCGCCACCGCCACCAGCCCCGCCCAGCGCGGAGGCAGCGGTGGTTCCGGTTGTGCCGGTGGTGGTACTCTCCCCACCACTTTCGTCGCCCTCCTCCAGCTCGGCGAGGTTCTCCTGGTCGGATTCCTCCAGTGTTACCTAGTAATTTTACAAATTATATATTAATAGGTGTATATCATTCATTTGGTGTATCATATATATCCAAACTAACATGGTTTTTTAACGCTTTAACATGAACTGCTATTCTAGATATTTCTAGTATTTTTTTAATTGAATTTCCGCTATTCGATTTAATTTTTACACATGTCAGTAATGGATATCTATCTCATCTGACTATCTTTTCTATCTCACTTGAAAGCGTATCCTGTCCTCCTGTGGATTTTCATCGACTCCCGACGGCGGCGGTGAGGGCGGTATCATGCTCTGGTAGTAGTCTCTGTTCTCTTCAAGCGTGTCGAGTATGTCCTGGGCATCTGGGTGCACCAGGTCCGCCCAGGTCTCCCAAAGTGGGTGGACGATATAGTCGATGAAGCCCACCTGCGACTTCTCGATAGTGGCATTGTGGCGATCGCACATGGGACTGATGTCCATGCCCGATTCACGTTCCTTGTCGCCCTGCAGGAAGAACTCCTCCATGAGCAGGGCCACCCAACGCTTGTAAAGCGGCAGCGGCTTGGTGGGATTGCTCAGATCGGCGCAGTGCACCAAATTCTCGAGCACCTTAAATTATATATATTTAAAGATTAAAGTTATGTTAATAATAAATCAAATTTCAAGGAATATCACTTACCTGTATGCGATCGGTGTAGTTGTCCAGCAGCAGGACGCCGGAGCCGGCCACCTTCTTCGTTTCCACCATTGTCTTCAGGTCGGCCAGAAGACTCATGTGCTTGGACATGTCCGTGGACAGCACAATATCAATAACCATTTTCCTCAATGTTTGGCGTTGTTTCCTGTGACGGAAAAATATATTATTAGCAATTGAAATTGAAAAAAAAAGGACACAAATTTAATGATTCATTCTATTATTATTTCTACAAGCACTTACTTTTGCATATTACAGAATATATCACATCCTTGATTTTGCAATAATTTAAAGGCAACAGCTAAATGATGATTTTCCAAAACAGATTCGTCATTGTACATTAATGCTAGTTCGGAACCTACAAAAAAACAATAACATTTGTTTAGTAATTATATCCTTTTAAGTTTTAGATAAGTGTAAAATTAAAGACGCACTTGAGTTAACCAAGAACTGATTGGTTAAGCCGGGATGATCAACATCGTGGATGCAAGCGGCGAACAGTGCCCCGCCCACCTCGAGCGGTGTGAAAACGCCCTCTAGCGCCGGTGTATTGAGTAGCACATTGGTGCTCTGGGTCACATCGGCGGCATGCAGCGAATTGTGAAACGGATTGTCTTTGACGTAGTGGTCCTCCAGAGTAGTCATAAAGTTAAGAAAAGTTTTCGGTGGTATCATAAGACTGGTCAGTAATTCTCTACTCTGTAAGAAAAAATATAACAGAATATAATATTATAAAGGTATTTTTTTTTAATTTCATTTGATTTCTCATTTGAACTCACCTGAAATATGGTGTATGCCACACAGGTGAGAGGTCGATTGACGCTGAACTCGCCAATGCTGAATATCTGGATGCCCCAGGTGTCCAGTTCGCCGAGCAGGGTGCCCAACTCATTCTCCCTGGGCGTCTCCACACCGAAGGTGGGCAGCCGTTCACCGGTAAAGCTGTTGGTGTGCGATAGTGGCCGCTTCACGCCGCTGATCTGCGACATCGGCGGACCGCGTGGCGAGCGGGAGCGTGCATACTGACCGGCAGATTGCTGACCGGCAGCTGCATTAGCCGCCACCAGCTCCGGATTATCCTCCACGCGCAGCGACGGCAAGTCGAACTCCTGCTGCTTGTCTGTCAGGAAAAATCAAGAGAAAAGTGTTAAATTTACTAATTTGTTTTTTAATTTCTTACTTAAAATCTTAAAACCTTACATAACTTCTTACTTAAAAAATGAATCATGAAACCTATAATAAGCTATTTCCTTTTCAAAAAACCAACTGAAATTATGGCAGCTGTACTGCAAAGAGTGTACATCAGAAAGCCAAGACAAACAGGCATAATGTACATCATCGGCTGCCACAAACACACATGTGCCAGAAAATATCACCCCCGGCAATATTTACATAGATATATGTATATATATCTATAACTGAATGGCAAGGAAATGTGGGCCAAGGGATGTAGAGGATAGATGTCGAGATGTGGAGCAGCGACCCAAGTCCTTCAACTCACATTTCTCAGGGCCTTTGCTTCTTACTCGGTGCTTAAACAGCCATATAAATATTCAAGCGTTCGACGGGCAAACAGGCAAAACTTTTGCAGTTTCCCATTCAAAATTCCATTGCCTACTTTTTCGGGCACCACAACCCCTTAACCCCTTGCAGTCCCCACCACAAGCCCCCACCAAACAATTGTTTTGTTTGTCGTTGTTTTTGGCATGAAATTCAAATTGCCTGTGCATTAATTAATATTCATTTCAAATTCCAAATTGCGTTGAATTTTCGTTCGTCTGCCGGTAAAAACTAAAACACTACACATGATACGTAAATAACGAGGGCTTGTTTTTATGGATGAAAGTTGGGGTTATTTGCTAATATATACATATCAATAGTGACAGGATTTCGTCCTTTTAATGGTGACAATACTTCCATATACAAATACGTTCTCAAACTAGGTTTTGAAACCTCAAAATTAGGAAAATTTTACATGTTTCCTTTTCCCTTGGTGAAACATTTCCCTTAAACAAGTTTTCTTTTTCTACCTCTCCCAGCATATGACAACGCATAAATATTCACCAAAAATTCTTAACGTTGTTTTCTTGTGTCCACTGGCAAATGTTTTCTTTTTGTTTTTCACTCTTTCCCACTTTTTGTTTTTTTTTTTCGCCGGATCTGAAAATCCCTTTTTCAATGGGAAATGTATTCCACCCGATGTGGGGGTATGGCTGCTTCTTGTTTTGCATATGCTTTCTCCACTTTCTCAAACGGATTCCCCTTGCTATGCTCTGTTCCTAGAGCGATATTCAGGTGCTGAAATCTGTTTTTGCCCACCATAATTTTTCGGGGGATTTTTCTCTTTTCTTCCTTTTTTTTTTTTTGACTTTCGAGGTCGAGGCTTCTGTTTCAAATGAAGTGTTACAAATAGACATTAGGCAGTCGTGTGTGCGTGTGTGAGAGTATTTTTTTTTTACTGTGTGTATTCCCCAAATGGCATTTTATGCTTGATAAACTACAGCAACAACAGTGTTAGGCCTGGAAAGTCTAGTGAAAAGGTATCCTCAGATCCCGAGAAGGTCACTTTATCCCTATGGCTCGACCTGTCTCTGTCGCACCCCCAATAGGTATCACTCCCACTGACTGCCCAGTGAAGCAGAAATATGGACAAATGTGCAAATATGCCCGATATCCTTTCGCTTCTTCTGCTGCCGCCTGAATTTTTTTTCTGCTCTTTCAACTCTTTTTTTTTTTTTTGATTTCGACTAGGTGCGTCCCCTTTGTTCGGCTTTGCCCCCACCACGCCTATCGTTTGCACAGAAAAATAAGATAGTAATTGAAAATCTCCTTACGTCTCTGAACTCATATTAAAAGTATGCATATATCCACAGTTAAAGAAACTTCTTGTCAACAAAAAAAATCAGATTGTCATTTTTTAACGCGCAGAATGAAAAATAAAAAAAGGGAAACTAAAACGTTACGAAGTAAACGTAAATTTGTAAGATAAGTAGTTAAAGAATAATTATTCTTATATTTTTTTAACTGTGCAGTCACTTTTTAACCCTAAAAAAAATACCTATTCCGTCACACAAAGTGCCACAAAAGTGGTTTTGACCTGGACAAAAGTATCAAGTGGGAAATGGTTGGGAAAATGCTCCAGGGGAGGTGAAAACTTTTTGGGGGAACGCTTCACTTGGCCCCCAGGTTAAACAATGAAATTTCCACTTCATCTGTTTTTATGCTGCTCTACATAATTTAATTTTGAACTTTCAAATCGAGAGAAATTTGGATAAGAAATGCGGAAGATCGACTAATATTATTCCTCATAATATCAATGGAAATTAATTTCTTAATTTAAAAATTTTTAAAACTCTTAGAAAAGTGTACTAAATTAAGAACAATGCACTGTTTTAAACTTGTTTAAGGTCTATCTAGCTTGATTTATTTTTGCTGATTTAAAAATTAACAAAGTACAAATACTAAACTTTAAAATTATATACATAAATATTTTTCTTTTTCCCCTTCAAAGTATTTTTCCCTCGCCTTTAGTATTTTCAAATCTCTGATTTTTATAACTTTTTTGCATTTTTTTTTTGGCATAATTTGTATGCCCTGGAAATAGCGATGGCTTCAATTGGTGGCTTGGCTTCAGCTACTTGAACTCTATTCTTTCTTTCCTTTTCCCGCCGCTGTGGTTAATGCGATTTTATTGCATACTTTCGCGAGCCAAACAACTAGGTAAACTATAAAAAAAAAACAACGAAAAAAGGAGACGAACAGCATGAAACAAATTTCAGCCAGCAAAAGTTGAAGCCGCAAAACATCTTGAATAACTTTGGAACCTCGAATGCGGAATGCGGCATCAGCGGGTTAAGGCGGACTCCTTCTGCGAGATTAAGTCAGAGGCAGTGATGACGATGAGGCGGAATCACAAATAAGGGATAAATACAATTGAAAATCCAGAGGAAATGATTGGAGTATTGGAATGGTCGTGCAATTGTTTTGTCGAAAGTTTCTCATCCATCTTGGGTGGAAAATGAATTTCAATATTTAGATGGATCGATTGAGGGATTTGAATTGATGCGGAGGAGGGAAACAAATTGAGATGCTGAATGATTGCATGATAATCTAAGAATAAGAACCCTAATTTAATTCTATTAAAAGAAACCTTTTACTATTTGAATTTTCTTATTTTATTCTCATATCTATCCATATATCAATATCAATAATATCTTTTAATCGTAATCAATATCTTTATATTTATATTTTTAAACTTACCCAAAAATGTGGAACAAATGTATTCGGAAATCTGATTTCCCGATCTGCTGGATTCGCTGAAGTGTGAAAGCTCTTTGTTGAGCATGCGTTTGAACTAAAAATATAGAAAAATTAAAAATTACAAATATGAATCGATTTAGGGAAAATAAAACTGTGATCTTAATTCCCACTCACCTTGAGCGAGGCCATGTCGGAGACGCTGCGATGGGTCTGGATGGTCTCCAGCTGGTCGAGGCACCAGTCCAGCTCCTCGATGGTGTCGGTGGCCAGGCGGGTGTAGGCCTCCTCGCCCTGGGACAGCGGTGCTCCCGGTGGATTTCCCGATCGGGAGGCAGACGAGGATTGGTTTGGCCGCCTGGATCTTGATGTATTAATACACAGTTTCCCCACACACACACACACACACGCACAGACACAGAGAGATATAAAGAGGGCGGGAAGGGGTAAGGGTTGGAGGGATTTGGGGATTGGGCGAGATGGTTAGGTAATTGAGGGTGCAAATACAACAAACCAACAAAATCATCAATCAAACATACAAACGAATCAACAAACAATCGAACAAACATTTAAGGGAGCATGGTAAACAATTATGGAAATGATGGCGAATAAACAAAAAAAAAAGGAAAAATATATATATATATTTAAAAACAAAATGGGAGATTAGGATTATGGAATATGGAAAGTGACGTAGCATGTTGTGGGTGTGGGTGGTGAGAAGAGAACACAACATTTAGATTTGTGGTTTTGCAAAAGTATCGGTGACACACATAGACACAAATGCAAAATATGGTTAAATGAGAAAAAGAGTTAGAGAGAGAGAGAGAGCGAGAAAGAGCGGAAGATAGAGAAAAAATATTTATATTTGTGAATTTTATTAATTTTTTTTTAGGGCGGGGAATGAATGTGTATGTTAATCTTTCTATTTACAGCTATCACAGCAAGTCTGGGGGTCAAGCTGTCTTTCTGGGGGCCTGCAGAGGGCTAAAGGTTGGGTGTTATTTACGTGCTTTTACCCATTTTCCCAAGGTTTGCGTTATTAATATTTAATAATTAAAAATTACGTTTTAATAGGTTAATAAAAGTGAAAGTCAAAGAGATTATAAACATTTAAAGAACAATTGAACTTTTTATAATTTTAAAACACTTTTTGTTAACTTCATTTAAAAAGCGATTGAAGAAAAACTTTCGTTATGATAAACAAATTTTTTTGAATTTTTTACCGACTTACAATTAGAACAAAAGAGTATTTTAGCTTAGTACCCTTTGCCATGGGCATCAAAATACTATTAAGATCCAAGGGAATACAGGTTAAAACACCAACGAGTTAGTAGTTAATCACATACAAAAATAATCAACAGCCAGCAGCAATCGAAATGACAACAATTTCCCGGTTGATCAACCAACAATTTCTTGCAATTGGTCTTGGGAAAATACAATTTTTATAGCTTCTCAACAAAAAAGAAATGTTTTTTTTTTTGTTTTTCTAAATTTAAATTGTGCGCCATGGATATATTCGTCGGAAAAGAATATTACAAAATTCTTTTTCTGTCCCAGTTGTTTTGGCGATAAACTTTTTGTATTTTTGGCACATTTCGCGTCATTTCTGCAGAAGTACGTGGGTTAAAAACGGGGTTTTACCTTCAACCTTTCGCAGGATTTTATTTATATATATATATATATAAATTTTTTTTTGTTCCCCTTCATCTGTATCTATAGCTATTTTTATTTTTCTATGTATATATTTTCATAGACCGACCATCAAAAGTTATTGTTAGATGAGAGTGTGATTTTGTTTGTTGTCATTGTGGTCGCTGCTTTTTTTGATTAATTAAAGTGTGAGACGACAGAAAAAAAAACAAACACACCAAGACCAGAGAGAGAGAAAAAGAGACAGAGAGAGAGAGTGTGTGTGAGTGGGTTAAGGCGAGCAGAGAGCAGGCAGCGGCACACATAGGGGTTAAGGGGGCGTTAAAACAGAGTGAGATTTCATATTTTTGTATTTTTCGGGGTCAAGTACATTGCATATAGTATATATATTTATATATACATACATATATAGTACACAACAAATTGAATGTCTCCGTAGGGGGGGGTTAAGAGAGGGTTAAGAGTTGGGTGGTTGTGAAGAGGGGGTGGTGTTTAAGAGGGGGCCTTGTTAAGGTCGTAATACACTTACTTGTTTGATGCTGGAACATTTGTCAGACTTAATAAATTGTTGCGCACTGAACGTAAGCTGGCTAAAATTTGGGCGAAAGGCGTCACAATGAGATCCTCGCCATGGCTGTAACACAAAAAAAAATATATATGAAAAACATAAGTTATTATTAGTTAATATTATATTGATATCCAATAAAAAAATATTCTTCATTATAAGCAAAGAACCAAGGGAAGTCGGAAGCCGTGTAAGTAAACATGCATGTACTAAAAATCTGGTTTATGAAACTAATTTACTACCTTTTTAATTATTAAAAGCTAATTCGTTCTAGTTTTTATTTTTAACTTAAAATCGTGTTTTTACATTAAAAGAAATCATTTTTCATGTGTGCAAAATAAACACCTATTGATTAACTTTTGTTGTTCTGCCATTTATTTCGTAATAATGCCATAATAATCGCAGTGTGTTTGGAAATCTATAAAATGCGGCCAACCAAATCCTCTTACATCGTACAAGTTTCTGAGTCTCTTTGAGGCATTGCCAAAATCAGCGAAAACAAGTCCATAAATAACACCAAGAATTTTAAACGAAAATTTTCGCTAATTTATTTAATTATTTTTTTTTTCGGTTCTTTTTTTTCTTTTCTGATTTTTGTCGAAACTACTTAATTTGTGTGGCATTCATTTTGAGTAGAATTTAAATGGCAAAATGTTGGGGAAATTGGAAACGTTGTTTAAAAAAAGGTCAGCGAATGTCTTCAAATATAAATGAAATGAAAAGAAAAACAAAAAACAAATCAAAAGACGCCATGGAGACGGCCAAGTTTCGGTTTTTATCCGCCGTTTAGTTGTCCTTTTTGAGCATTTCAAAATTCCTCAGAAAACATATAGAAAAAGGCATTGGATAGGGAGAACATTGGGGGTGTGGCACTTGGTCTGGACTTTCCTCCTTAGCCATTTGGCTAGAAATTTTCGTTGTGTGCCAAAGAAAAAAAAAAAATGAAAACCGAAAATTAATGAAGAAAAAACAAAAATCGAAAACGAGGAGAAATGAAAAACGTTGACAAACAAAAAATGGCATAAATTAATAATAATAAAAATAAAACGCTAAATACATATAGACAGATCTATGTATAGTTAGGTATATATAGGTGTATATATATATATCTATATGCTTATAATGATGCGGGGGCGTTCACGTCGGTGACGTCACAAAATTGGGAGACAAATTAAACGCAGAAGTCGTGGAATGGCGCCAAAGAATTAAAATTAATATTAATTGAAGGCAGAAACTAGGGGATTTAGGTATATTTGAATTTAAATGTTGTTTTAAATATTTTGTTAATTCTTTTGTTTACTAGCTATTACCCTATCCAAACAAACAGATAAAGAAACGTTATAATTACTTTAAAATAATTTAAAGGACCAAAAGGAAGTGCTTAGAATGATTTTGGGTTTGGCATTCATTTCAGTTTTTAAATTTCCAAAATTGTCAGACAATAAAAAGGCTACAAAATGGCATTGAGTGGGTTATGGATTTACAATATTCATTTCATATATTTCAATTTTACAATTGACCTCCTTTGCGGCCATTATCACACACCGAAAAAAGAAAAATATTGCAAAAAATGGCTCATTTACAGGCTCGGTGTGCTTTTTGTTTTCCTCCACTTTGAATTCACATTTCTTGCCACTTTCCTCACTTCTCTCAACGCCTGTCTCGCGATATTTGCTTAACACACTTCGGTTTGGTTTGCTGCCTGACTTTTGGCACGTCGCACATATATATCCGCCATATAGCATTGGGGGGAAATCGGCCAGAAAAATCGTGTCAGAAACGTCTCGTTTATCCATCGATAAACGCAAATGAATCTGAACAAAATTGGCGGTAAAATTTCAGTTGTCTACTTGACGAACTTTGGTTAATGGTTAATTTTTTTGTTGACACTGAATTTGTCATTTCGTTTAAAGAAAGTTCATAGGGGTACGTTTACCCCAAAATATTTATTATTGTTTTTGCTGTTGTTGTTGTTGTTGTTGTGCCATCTTCCGTGCTATTTTGGTTTATTAATTTTGCGACGCATATTCAACACGCCCCCAATTGCCAAGACCATAATATCGCCTCTTTAGTTGAAAACACAACGTGACTCATCAAAAGTATAATAGGTAAAAGCAAACCAAATTAAATATAGAGTGTCGCTAGAAGGTAACCAAAGTGGTTTATGGTTTATGATTTCTATAGTTATTATTTGATTCTAAACTATTAATAAATATTATTAGGAAAAATGAAAGCATTTTTAATGACTTTTAAATATTAATTGAAATAGTTTTAAAGAAAATCCAAACGAAATAAACAAATTGAGACCAATTCTTCTAAATTTGACACTTCAACTGAAAGTTTTAATAAAAATTTGTTAAGCTTGACATCTACTAAAAGTCTAATGACAAATGTCTACCAATTTTCTCTTAGGTTCCTATTAGGAATTCTGATATATTTGAGCCTCAAAATATGTGAGACATGCGTCAAAAATATATATCATTTTCTGGGAATTTGTGCGACAAAAGATTTGTGAAAGTAATTGATTTGCTTCAAGTAAGATGAAAAGCTTTTTAACCACAGAATATTGTTTCACAGAATTGACGGGGGAATTCCCTCTACACAGTAGGAAATAAATCTCTTGGATTAAGAAAACTTAATAAAATGGTAATTAAAATTTAAAATAAATACCACAGAGATATATATATTATATATACAAGAAATCTAAAGAAGAGCCAATCTATTGGCATAAGAAATATTCGGTAGAAATAGCAAGCCATAGATCATAATTAATGGAGGCATATATAAAAGACACACGCGGCTTGTTGGATGTCATTAAAATTGGAATATAAATGTGTGTATTTAGTTATTTGCTGAATTTTCGATATATATGTATATAGGCTAGAGATCTATATATCTGCATAGCTGGCAAACTATTTTGAGAGCTGGTCATATATGGCCCTGATCTGTAGGGACACTATATATTCCTGGACATATATACCTTCGCTGTGACTTAATCGAGAACATATTGTCCCGATCATTTAGTATTGTTAAAGCCAGATCGTCCTGCATTATCGATGGTATCATATTAAAGAAACTATGCACTCGCGGCAGCGACTGCGATGCTGCTGAGTTTTTGTTTAGCATTTTGATTAGATTAATTCACACAATATTAAAAACAAAAAAAAAAACAAAACTATATACACACAATGTTTATAAATTAAATCAAAATTAACAATCACTTTTGGCCCACATGGGCCCACTAGTTGGAAATTTGTTATATTTTTTTTTCTTTTCGCTTGATAAAAGACTTTTGAGTCGCCTGTTTACTTAGAGTTTGCCGTGATTGGAAGCAATCGGATTGCTGTTTTCTTTTCGCGATTTCCGCGGTTTGTTTGAGATTTTTTCGAAATTTCCACGAGCAACCGCTAAACGAGAATGAAGCGCGTCCCGCGGCAGAAAAATACAGAAAACAGAAAATACAGCGGGGCCAAACACATGAAAAAGAAAAATTATAGTAGACTCGTCTCGCGAGAGCAGAGAGTACAAAAAAAAAAAAAAAAATATATTCAACTTAAATAAAAATATAAAAAAAAATATTCCTACTCGTCGTCGCTCGTGAGAGCTTGTTGTATTTTGTTATTTTCATTTCGCGCAAGATTTCAGCTTGCTTTTCATCTTCATCAGGCAAACGCCATTTGCTCAATTATTGGAATACAGGGTGTGATGGTAAGGTAAAGGGAATTAAATAGTCTTATTTTTAATCTTTTAAATTATTAAACATTAGATATTATAGTATACTATAAAAGACTAGAAAATAGCTGTTCAACAAATTAGCATTTGTGAGTTCAATTAAAGTAATTTTGTGCAGTGAATTTTCAATATTTCAAAAACAATATTTTGGTGCGCAAAAGAAAACACTATTAAAATAGTTAAAAATATTAAACTAAAACGCAAATAATTATAGTTCTAGAATATTTTCTAGTTAAGGAATATAAACTTGGGTGCTTTTTATATTCTACAAAAATACCAAAATAATATTTTCTAGCACCCTGTTATCATCATCATCATTATCATCGGCGTCGTCGTCATAGGCAACGGAACTACAATCATGATCATCGGCAATGATGAATATTCGGAATGAGAAGTTATGGCTGCCGCTCAAATAATTTAATTTTCATTTGCAGAGTACCCAGTATTTTCGCCTCTCGCCCCACTTTTTCCATCGTACTTACCTACGCTAATGTTTAATAAATTCCCCCATCCATTCCTCTCTCTCTGTGCTTTTTCTTTTCTTTGCTGGTTAATATTAATAGTATTAATATTCTTGTTATTGTTGTTGTTGTTGCTATTGCAGCTGTTGGCATTTGATTAACGCTCATTAGCGTCAGCAACAACAACAAAAACAACAACAACGTGCACATAAATTTTTAAATACAGCAATTATTTTAATATCTTTTGCATGATAGAGGAAAAATGTTTAGAAATAAGAAAACGAGAGCCGTTCAGAGAAATTCTTTGGACCTAAAAAAAAAAATAACCTGAGAGCAGAATATTACAAGAATTCTAATAATAAAATATTTTCTATGTGGATAAGCTATTTTTTTATTTTTTAATTTTCTTTACTCAGCGTTTAAGTTGATAACTGGGTTATATGGGCCACATTGCTCATACGCAGCGTGCGCCAAAGTGGGACTTTAAATGGCTCTGCATTTATTATATTGACTGAGCGAATGATTGCAGTCATTACACGGTTTCTAATCTATGCACTTGACAAAAACTAGGAATATTTTTTTTTAATTTAAAAATAATTGCACTTCAAATTTTATATAAAATTAATCACTTATTAGTTGTTTTAGTTTAATATAAAATATTTCTATTAGAAGTTTATTTCTAATTATATATTGATAAGATTTTTCTTCCAGTACATTCATAAACAAAAGCTCACTCTAGTCGAGTGCCTCTAAGCAATTGGGATAAACACTCTAGAGGGGAAATCTGCGGGCATTAGTCTTAATCTGACTGCAGCCAGAGATTTATGGGATTTATGCAATCAAACAGTTGCTGACCACATTTCACATTTCAAATAAGCTGCCTTGAGAACTAGTCAACTATAACTATAAACGTTTAAAAAGCCCATTAAAATGTATACCATAGTGCAGGAGCTTTTGCCGGTCTTAATGTGTTGAGTATATATATATATATATTTTTTGTTTTTTTAAAACCAAACTATTTATTTAGCTTGGCTTAAAAACTTTAGATAGGTTTAAAAGGTGACTGTCTGTCGATCGCGGAAATATTTTATTTTTAAGCCATTATTCGTTTTGGCCATATCATGGAAGACTGCACTCCGAGCTGCCGATATTAAAGCTCTTAATTTGCATTTCACTTTTGGCACAGCACAGCCATTTTCCATTTCGCATTTTCCATTCTCCGTTTTCCCCCAGCCAACCTGCCAGCCTGCCAGCCTGCCATTTCCATGCCGCACACTCACATTTGGTATAAAGGAATTTCTATTTTTTTTTCGCCGCTGGGTGTGAATGACAAATCTGCAATGTGCAATGCATTTTCCCCATATATAAGTGTACATAAATATATATATATAAATATATATATATATATATATATATATGAATACATATATATGAAAGCTAAAATTATGTGACTGCGATCACGAGCACTCACGAATCATATTCAGGCACTCACAGTTTATTTTGTACTATTTTTGTTGTATTTTTGAGGCAATTGAGGAGATGCTGGCAGAGCAAATTTAATGCACGGGAAAAATGTATTTTATTTAGTTGAAGATGAAGTAGAAGCAGTGGCAGTAGCAGCAGCAGCAGCAGCAGCATTCCTCTTCTGCTGCCTCATCTTGAGCCATATTTTATGTGTTTTTTTTTTGTGTGCCAGCATTTCTTGGGTGTCACGCTGCGTATGAATAATGTGAACGAAACGGGAGAGCGAGCGCGTTACGTATACGCCCGGTGTGCGGCGGCACTGCATGTGGCAACTAGATTGCGACCACAGCGGGGCATTTTCAAGAGAGAGTTCCCCTTGATTGACTTCTGTCAGAAATTATTCCGTTTTATTCATTTTCTCTCTCTATATATATATATATCTTTTTCAGATTTTTTTTTTTGGTGTCTTGGCACTTGGGGACAGGAAATAGGAAATGTTTTTCATATTTAAATTAGCTTGGCCTGCACTCAATAATCAACCAGATGTCAGCGTCATTCGGTGTGCGAAATTCCTTTCCTCTGAAACTCGTGACTGTCAAAGACAAATTAAGATGACTCAACGGATATGACCAACAAACAAAATGTGAGGCTTTCGAGCCGAAAGTTGTATTTCGTAGGACTTAAATGAACCCTCGAAACACAATGTATTTTTGGTTTCTGGATAAATATTATGGAAAATACACTGATCTACAGTATAAAAATTCCCAAAAACCATCAACTTTAAACATTTTTTTTAAAATAGTTGTTATACTTAACCATTGTTTATATTATAATGTTTTCTATAAATAATTGCCAGCATGCAAAAAATAATTAAATAAAAATTGTAAAAAAAAAAAAACTGCCAATTAATAAACCAATATAATGCAGGTGCAAAGAGTGGATTAAAAAGCAGTAAATTACCCTAATAAAATAATGTTCCATAATAATAATTTATATATAATATTTAGTTGGGTGTTTTAATTAGTGAAACAAAAACAATACAAAATGCAGGACGATAATGGCGAAAAGACAACGACAACAAACATACAAACATCAAATATGCAATATTAGGCAGGCAAGACATAACGATAGAGATAGATAGATAGATAGAGAGAGACAGAGAAAGAGAGAGCGATTGTAGGTAGATCAGATCTCTCGGCATACGTACGATCGGTCAACGAGTATAGAGGCTTCCTGTTCTTTAAACCTGGAAAAAGGGTTACAATCTTAATAAACAACGATAATACAGACAACAATCATCAGAATTTCACTAAGTATAGTGGTGGAAATAGAGAGGAAATTTAAGGGAAAATGAAGGGAGCAAATGTAGCTAACAAAAAGTTATAATTAAATAAAAATCATAATTACATATATAAAAACACAACAAGAATTATTTTTCTATTTTTTTTTTAATTTTTGGGATCTAAATTGGATATTTGGAAAACTTTTAGCTGTGTTATAGTAAAAAAATTATCTTTTCGTGAGCAAAACCAAGTATACGCCTTTTAAGAGCAAAAAGTCAGGATTTCTTGCAGTTTCTTAGCTCTAACTTTGTCAAAACAAGACGCACGGCTAAAACAGAGACTGCTTTACGCAGCTAGCAACCAAAACTGTAGACCCCTATACTTGCCTTTATCATTACTGTTCTGACTTTTCGGTGCGAGATCTGATTTATTAGCTGAAAAATCAGGAAACCTATTTTTAACAGAAATGTGCAATACCATGTTCGGTTTTTTAGCTCAACTCGGTCAAAACAAGACGCACAGCCAAAAGAACGACTGTTTTGTGCTGCTAACGACCAACACTAACCACCCCTATCACTGGTTTTTCGATTTTCGGAAAATCAATTTTGGCCCAAATTTCGCATTTTTGATAAGGGGTACCATCATCAAAATTTTCAAAAATGGGCCCAAAATGAAGTTTCCCAGATTTGAATGCAAACCAACTGGGAATCATAACAATCAAATTACGAGCCCTACGAGGTATTACATTCTGTATTTGGACCATTTTTGGCTGTGCTATGGCTAAAAAACTGTTTTTTTTTGCGCTCAAAATCAAGTATACGTCTTTTGATAGAAGAAAACCGGCTTTGTTGCCGTTTCTTAGCTGTAACTTTGTCAAATCAAGTAGCACGGCTAAAACAGTGGCTGTTTTATGCAGCTAACAACCAAAACTTTAAACCCATATACCTCCTTTTAACAGCGTTGCTCTGATTTTGTTGGGGCGAGTGCGGATTAAATGGCTAAAAGGTCAAAAAACCTATTTTTACAGAAGACATTCCGGGTTTGTTGCCGTTTCTTAGCTGTAACTTTGTCAAAACAAGACTTACGGCTAAAACAGTGACTGTTTTATGCAGCTAACAACCAAAACTTTCAACCCTTATACCTACTTTTAACAGTTTTGTTCTGATTTCGTTGGGGCGAGTGCTGATTTAATGACTAAAAAGTCAAAAAACCTTTTTTTTACAGCATAGATTCCTGGTTTGTTGCCGTTTCTGAGCTCTAACTTTGTCAACACAAGCCGCATGGCTAAAACAATGACTCTTTTATAAATCTTACTACCGACTCTTAACACCCCTATACATGCTTTTATTTTTATTGTTCTGATTTTTGTATGCGAGCTCCGTTTTAAGGTCGGAAAACTGATGAAACCGATTTTTAACAGAAATGTGCAATACCATGTTCGGGTTTTTAGCTCTAGCTCGGCCAAAACAAGCCGTACAACCATAAGAACGACTCTTTTGTGCTGCTAACGACCAATACTAACAACCCCTATCACTCGTTTTTCGATTTTGGGAAAATCAATTTTGGCCGAAATTTCGCATTTTTTATAAGTTCATCAAAATTTTCAAAAATGGGCCCAAAATGAAGTTTCCCAGATTTAAATGCAAACCAATTGGGCATCATAGCAATCAAATTACGAGCCGTACGAGGTATTACATTCCTCATTAGGACCATTTTTGGATGTGCTATGGCAAAAAAAAACAGATTTTTTTTCGCAGGAAAATCAAGTATACGTCATGCATGTTGTTGACAAAACACGTTGGGGATACAAACTTACAACTGACGAAAGTACGAAATACACTGGCAAGCATTTTAAACTTAAGTTGTATTTTTTTAAGATTTATTTCAAATGGGAAACAATGTTATTATATTTATTGAATTTCTGGTTTTAATGGAAAGTCCTTATATTTTTTCTAATTATAATTCGTTTCTCGGTGTGTATATTTTTCCAAAGACCAATTGATGCGTCACGTGCTGCCAAATGTTAAGTGGGTGTGTGGCTAAACATTGGTTGGAGCAGGGGGCTATGAGTGATGAGTGTGGGTGAAAAAGGGGGGCGCCAACCAGCGGCAACTTTCAATGACGCAGACAATGACCCCTTCAGCATAGATCCGAGCAAATCCAGCATCATGACGTCATTCTACCACGTCACAATAAACAGACAGAAAAACAAAAATTGCAAAACAAAAAAAAGAGCTGGGCTGCACAAAAGTCGAAGTTGAAGTGTTGACATTTAAGCACATGGCCAAAAGGACCCCTGACTGCCGACCTCCGATGCCCTCCTTTTGGCAGCCGACTTTGCCGCCCATTTGTCTCCTGCATTCAGAACTCTGTGTGCAAATGTCATTGGGCGGGCGCAAATAAAGGGGGCGGGTCAAATGCAAAAGACCCTTTACATAATGTGAGGTCAAACTAATCGGACCTTTTCGGTGACATTATGTTATCTAACTTTTGTTTTGTTTTTCGCAGTCTTAATCATGTAATCAATTTGAAGTTTCTAGCCAAGTTAACAGTTGAAATTTAAGTTCCTTCCCTGAAACACTCCATTTCAATCCATTTCAGTTGCTAATTTAATTCAAACCAACTCCAGTTAGCACGTCATGGCCAAAATTCGACTGTCGCCCATTTTATTTGGTTATCCGAGACCTCCGTTAATCCGAAACTAACCCACAATAGCCTCGCCTCAGAAACCGAAAAACAACCAACTTACCCTGGCAACTCAATTAAAATAATTCCACTTTCTTTTCCCTGCAATTCCACTTAATTTAAATTCAACTCGGTTTCTATTTTGTTTTCCTTTATCAGTTGTTTTTTTAATTAATGGGAAAGCAAGTTGCAGCAGCCAAAAAAAAAAAAAAGAATATATTAAACTTTCGCAGGATGAATTTCATTGAAAAAAAAAAAAACTTTATCAAGACTGCGGACACCTGACACAGTTTGTGGATAAATTAATGCTCAGGATTGAAAGTTGCAGACAGGCAGAAAGAGGACTTCTATGGGCCTGGGAATTAGAATTAGTTTCAATTCCAGGTAAAGCAAATGCCTGCACTTGTCGAAAATATGTGTACTTTTCAAAACCTCAACAGCTCTGTATAATAATGGAAATAATTTAACTATTTATTTGACTAAAAATGATCCTATATCTAAAAAAAAAACTGACTGATTTAGTTTCAGCCATTAAATTTCACTGCATTTACATTTTTTCATTAGTCTTATAAGTCTATTTAGTCAATTTATTTCGTTAGTGTATAAATCTAGGAAATCCTACCCCACTAAAAGTATTGTGTTCTTATATTTTCCATTTGAAATAACAAAACAAAAAAAGAATTCCACTTAACTGCATCTATTATTGTTGCCATGATGATTATTTTCTCGTTTTTCGGGGTGGCTGTCGGAAAATGTGAGAAGGAACATCCCGAGATGCCCGACAACAAAATATTATGACTAATTGTGAGTTGTTTTGCTCATATGAGAACCTTGACATTTACACGGAAAATGGGGAATATCAGTGAAAATGCTTGAGTGGGTGGGAATTTATGCAAGACAGAATCACGGACAGTCGGCCAATTATTTGTTATTAGTGTTGAAATCTTTATGAATCTTGGTCGTCAGTCAATGGTTTTCATTTTAGTTTTCTTTTTTTTTTTAGGCTCTTCTATTTTGGTTTTTAGTTTAGGTTCTGGTTGAACTCAAGATCTCCATCCATAAATACGTGTGTGTGTGTGTGTGTGTAATTGACAGCTCATCAGGAACATTGTTTGAAAGTGGCAGCCCCTAGAAATATTCCAACTTGATTGAAAGCAAACGCAGCGTGCGCTGAAAGGTGGAGATTTTCGTTCTTAGCCCCTTTCTTTCCCTCAGATTTTCCCCCGGGCTTTCCCACGATTTCCCTCAACAATCCCTCAGAAGAGAGAGAGAGAGAGAGAGGGACAGTTTGGCAGGCCGAAAAACTTTGAAGGCAGACAAAAGTTTTCGGCTTCCATGCCGCACCGAAAACAAATTCAAATTGCGTTGCTGTCGCCTGCCAAAAACATTTGACCGTAAAGGGAAAACTACAACAAAAATACCTACGGTAAATCAACCACAACAACACTAAAAGCAATGATGGCCAAGATGGCCAAACAAAATACTCATTCGAACTAAAATTCAGTTGGTTTTACTTGCAAGAATTATACAACAAATACCGAAACTATAGGAATTTTAATAGTACTTTTATGAATCTGATTAAAATACAATTTAAATTGGATTACTGATTAATTTAATATTTCGTTATTAGAAATTTAAACTTCATCCGTTCACAGATATACCTTTATTTATTAATCTTCTCCTAAAAGTATCCCTAAAATGATTTTAATGGGAAACAATACACTATATTAAAGACCCATCAAAATCCTAAAGCTAAAAATCTAAAAAACGCACGTAAATCATAACCTTTGATTGAATTTTCCTCGCCTCGTTTCGAGTCTTTATAATGTAATGAACATTTTGTTATTTCCGCAGTCGTAAATTTTCTATTTACTTTTGGGTCTTCAAGTGTTTTTGCTGCAGGCTCTTGAGTGTTTTCCACTATTTTTTTTTTTTATTTCGAACCAAATATTTTGGTTTTTGTAATTTGTGCAATAATAATTTTTGCAAGTGGCACAAGTAGGCAAGCGAAAGCTCACTTTTGGCGCTGTAAAAATAGCTGTAAAAATGTAAATATTTTGCCAGCCTTTACCCTCATGCTTTTCCACCGTTCTATCCTCCCATTTTCTCATCTATATTTCCATCTTTTGATGGTGATCATCAACAGCCTCCAACTTTTCTCGTTGTTATTGTTGTTGCAGCTGCATGTGTAATTAGGTGTTATTGTTTTTGTGCATAATACACATACATACATATATATATATATATATATACTCCTATATATGTGAGTGTGTGTGAGGGTTTTCTTCTATATTTATGTATGTGTGTGTGTGGCCCCATTGCCAATGCCAAAACGTATAAAAAAAAATTGTGGGAGTGCAGAGGGATGCACTCAAAAACACAGCTTGCCAAAAAAAAAAAAAAAAAACAGACACACACACACAATGAAATATAAACAACAACAAAGAGAGAAGCCGAAAAATTGCATTTCGGGCCTCAGTGTTGCATAACGCGTTTTTGGCCATGCATGTGTAATGAGGGTTTTTTTTTGGGGCGGAGCTACTGTGACTAACTAATTGAAGTTGAGGCCTTAGGCACTGTGAAAAGTATGGACAAAAAAAGGCCCAACATCAGGCAGCAAACACTGCGCGAAAAATGTGTAAAATTTATGAGATTTAAAAGATTTTAGTGTAATGATAAAAGTACACTTATTCTTTGTTGAGAAACTTAAAAGAAAACTTTAGAGTTAAGCCTCAAAATAAAAACAAAAAAAAAATACGCACATTATTTAGTCTTAAATCTATTTATAAGATTCAATTTGAAAAAAGTGTTTGAATTCCTAATTTTGTTACAATTACATTTTTCATAGTGCAGGGCTTTGCATATTTTGTGAAGTTTAACGAAAGGCGGGTCGGTGGATAGGTGGTGAAAAATGAGGAAACGGTTAGTAAGCCCCCTGGAAAAGTCACAGAAATCCCACAGAGTGACAAAGAGAAAGTCGAGGAAAAGCTGGCAAAATATGGTGGGAGGGTAAACTCTGATGCCCCAGAGATGCCAGCAAAGTTGTTGCACTTTTCGCATGTGTGCGTCTGGAATTTTGCTGGATCCACCTAGTAGCCATTTCCACCCTACCACTCCTCGTCAGCAACGCACCACTGATCCCTCCATATGCCTTACTAAATTGTTCAAATATCTGTGACCAAGTTTATGTTTGCTTAAAGCGTAATAACGAGAAAACACTTAGAAATCCTTTAAACACACAATGAAAAATAATTAAATAAAGATACAACCTAAAAACTTAGGTATTTAAATGAAAGGTTTATGAAAAATTACAGAAGCCGAATGGTGATTGTAGAAGCAGAGCCATTAAAATTGTTGGTAAAAAAACCAAATAAAGCAGGAAATGTACACAGTAAAAGCAATTATCCAAGAAAACCCCCTTAAAAAATAGACAGGAAAAACATACGTTTTGAAAAATAGAAAACGAAGAAATAGCTTTGAAGAATACAGACATTAAATAGAGAAAATGTATATAAAGATTTATATTTAATAGTGTAGGTGAAGACCAAATAAAGCAAAGAAGATAAAACAAACAAAAAGTGCAGAAAAGTGTCAGCCTTGAAAGAGATAGGGAGACACATCGTTAAAGAAAGAAATTGTATCAGTAATAGTGTAGATAAACACCACAGAAAACGACATTTAACGTACTTAAAGTAGTCGTACCACCGCAAAAATGGCACAACAAAGCGAGAAACCATAATCAAAACCTTTTCTGGGGGGTAAAGGGAAATCACAAACATGGAAAAGGTGTTGGAAATACCCAGCATAATCATTATTTCAGCCCCGAAAATTGTACAATTTAATGTTTATGGTTTGGCATTTACGAAAGAAATAAAACCAAAAGGTAAGAACTTAGTTTAAAAATTAAAACTCAAAACTTATTTACCATATATATATAAATTGTAAAAGAATTAATGGTAAATGGGGGAAATGGGGAATTCAAGTGCATTTAAAAACTTATTTAGAAATTTACCTTTCGCTAGCGATGCTTGAGTTTCGGGACATAGACTTGGGCGACATCTCAAAGTCGGAATCGGAGCGATATAGAAATGATTCGCGACGCTGCGGCAAATTCTGTAGAACCAAACCGGCGCTGGGAGAGCCGCCCTCGAGCGGTGATCGAGCGCCCTGGCCATTTTCTACATCGAAACTGAAATAAAATTAGTTACAAAAATTTAATTAGTGAGAATTTTCTAAAGAAAATTTTTTTTTTTTGCAAATCAAGGATATATTTTTTTTGTAAATGTTCTAGCAAATAGTTTATTATAAATATATTTTTAAATAGATAGCTAATTTAAAAATATTCAAAGACCCATAACATGTCAACTTTAGAGAGAAAAATATTCTTAAATATGAAGGCAATGCCACCGGAAACGGAAGCGCGCCTAACAAGGCGCATTTAAAGTTTCATTTCGTTAGTCATCTTTTGTGTTTCCCTTCCCTTATTTTTTTTCTCCCCCAACTCGGTTGTCTGTGGCAAAAAGGTTTTCTGGCTGGCAGAATTCTAGTAACAAGTCTCTTTCTCCTCACCAAAATAAAAAAAAAAAAAAAAAAAAAAAAAAAAGATAGAAAAAAATGTGAAAGTAAAAGTCACTCCACTCCACGCTTAAAAATGTGAAAGGAAAGTTTTTGGGGGAGTTGTTCAAAAACAAAAACAAAAGAAAGAAACTTCCATAAAACTGCCAGCTCATCTTGGCTGACAGGACGCACTTCAATTTGCCGCTAGGTGGCTGCTTTAAACTTATAATCAAGCTTCTTTAAGCTCCAACTTTCATTCATGCCAATTTAATCTGACATAAAGCATACATACGCATAAGTTTATATCTAACTCCCGTGGAAGTCTAGAAAATCTATCTAATTGGTTTAAGCTACAACAATTTGAATTATATAATTATGTACTTATAAAAATAAATAGAATTATAATTTAATTAATAAAGCACATGGATAGTAGCAATCATCTTTGTTCTAAAAACTTCTGGTAAAGAAAATCCATTTAAGTAGGTAGTGTATCCATTTTTTCATTGATTTATTTTCAGTTTCATTAACTAGACGCTATTTAATTTCTGTAAAACAAGGAACATCAATTTCGTTACAGCTTAAGTGAAAACCGGACGAATTGGTAATCGAAAAATATCAATTCGAATGGAAACGTTTGGCTAAGATACTTTTCCGCAACATTCTTGCTTCAAACAGCTGAGCTCAAGCCCCCCCCTTCAATTTTGTAGCTTTTCCAAACACCTACACCTCCACAACGCTCATTTTCCTCGCAAGGCTGGAGAAAAGTCGTAAAGAAAAATGATGTTTTAAGTAAAATTTATACCGGGGTCATTAAGTAAACTTGGCACAAAGTTGTTGCGCTGCTACTGCTACTGTTTTGTTTTTTGGTGTGATTGGGGGGGTTAAGGAGAGAAAGTGCTAGGATGGAGGTGGTGGTGGCGGCGGTAAGCAACAATGTCGCCATTTCCCTGGCATACTTTGTGGCGCTTCTCCGCAAAAGTTATGGCACAACAGCAGCGGTGGCGACAAACTGTTTTTAGCTCGATTTCAGTTTTCGGGCATACATTTTTCCGCTTTTCTTTTTGCTCAGTTTTTGTATTTTTAATGGTGTTATGAACACACTTTATTGTTGCTTTTTTTTTTGTTTTTTTTCACAGTCAAAACAAATGCGAACGCGAAATAGGAAAATTTCTACTTTGTTTGGTTTGGTTCTCAAATTGGGCTCTCTATTTTCACTATATTTTCATTTTGGAAGCTTCAGATGGACGCTTTGTTCCAACGTTTGTTGCTTCATGGCCACTATGACTACGTTCTTATATTTCTTTTCTGGAATATATCAAGTGATAGAAAATCTAAAAATAAATCAAATATTTGTGTACCTTTGCAATAATATTAAAAAAAAAGAAAAAGAATTTAAAACTTATACAATTTAAATTAAGAGAATATTTATTTAACTTGAAGATACTACTTTTATTTTAAGCCTTTCATTTATCTACTCATTTTCCCGCCCTTTTAAGCCCTTCTTCAACCAATATTTATTTAGTTACTTTGTAATGCACTCGCAGATTCATTCATTCGCGCCATAAATGCTGCATTCATTCTTTTCAAAGTATATACTACTTGGCGCCTGCTTATCCTGACATCCCAAGGACCTGTCGTAACACTCGGAAAAAAAAAAATCACTGAACATGGGGACTAAAAACAACACTCAAGCTCATAAAGCGTCCTGTCACAGGCAGTGCACAAAAAACGCAGACAAGCCATTCAAAAAGCAAGAGAAAGCGTGAAGAAAGGCCGAATAGAAACAAAAGATAAGCGAGCAAGACAATTGTTTTGCGTGTGAAAAAGAAGGTTTGCCTGGTCTGCAAAAGAAATGCCAACATGGAAAATAACTGTCCAGTATTAAGTCGATTAAAAGTACAATTAGGATTTTTCGCAAAACTAAGATATTTTCTAAGGGTGTTTCATATCATAAAAGTTATCCTTTATCGAAAAAACTGTCAGATTAGAAATGCATTTTTTGACAATTTCTTTTTGAATAACACTCAGCATTCCAATCAAGCCGAAGCCAACAACTTTGCTATGGCAAAAATAGTAATTGTAAAGGCAAAAACTTATTTTCATTTTTTATCAATTGACAACTAGCTAAGCTAATCTGGTCTGGTAAGCTAGAGTATTTCCATCTTCGGCTTTTGAACTCCCTGACTTTCTTTGTTTCTAGTTCCATACTTGCAGGCGCCCTCAAACACAATTATACACAAGTGAGGGGGAGGTGGTGGTGCTGTTGGCTGGTTTTTCTTGTAGGGATGGGTGATATAGTGGGTTTTCCTTCGCTTAAGCCGTGACGTGCTTTAAGCCACACAGTCGCATTGAAGCCGGATGAAGGCGAAAGTAGCTGGTTGGCAGAAGATTGGCATTGTTTTTTTTTTTTTTTTGCCTGAAGAAAGTGGGGAGTGCCAGGAGAAAAAGGGGACTGAGAAAAGCTAAAGAGGGAGAAGGACGAATAGGAAGTGAGTGTGGATGGAGAAGTCGGGAGAAACGGAAGTGTGCCCGACGGCAGCTCTTGATGTGCCTAATTATATGTGCAAATAAATGAACGACGCATGCTGATTGTGTGGGTGTGAGTGTGTATTATTATGGCAGTCGTCTGTACTTGTGTGTGTTTGTGTTTTGGGTACACATATATATATATATATTTGTGTGTGTCTGTGTGTGTATCGTGAATGTTTGTCCTAGACAAAAGGTTGCCCCTTTTTTGCCTAAAAAAAAAAGAGCGAGCGCTAAGCTCAACGCCCAGCGCCAACTTAATTAGTTTGTTAAACTCGCAGCTACAAATACTCACTCAAAGGGTGTCTGTGAGAGTCCTTTGACATATCGTGAAAATCCCCGGGAAAGCAAAGGCAGAACTGGGAACTAGGGAGAATGGATCTAAAGGTATTTTCAACCAGACTTTAAACACAGTTTTTCATGCTGAAACCGGCCAGAATTTTTTAGCTTTAATTATTATGTTGTTATGTTTATTAGTTGAAGAACTTAATTATTAGAATTTATGATTTCTTATTAATGTACTTATTATTTTTTATTTTATTAACCATTTGGTTTATCTTTTTACTTAACATTTAGTGGCTTTATTAATCCCTAACCCATACTATTTGCTGTTAAGCCCCTTTCTTTTCAATCACACATACATACAGCCGCGTCTTAAAGGATTCCTCTTACACATGCACTCCCATACGAGGGCAAGTGTTAAGTGGCCTCTCACTCCCACATTAGATGCAAACAAATACCGCTAGTTGAAAAACCTTGGGTGCAAATAGAAACCAAAAAAAAAAAAAAAAAAAAAAAAAAATAACTCAAGGAAAATATAAACCAAAATTCCCAAAACCAAAGAAAAGTGCAGAAACGAAAGAAAAATGCTGGTGAAGGAGACAGAACAACCGATTGCAACTGTGGGTGCCAAAAAAGATGTGGGGGGCTGTGGTGGTCGATGGGTGTATTGCAGTGGGGGTGGCTTACTGAGGGGAAAGAAAAACTGTCACAAGGCCGTTAACAAAAGCCTGAGACTGACTGCCATGGAGGTTGGTTGGTTGGTTGGTTGGTTGGACGATGATGGAAGATGGAAGCGGGGGAGGGGCGAAAAAAAAAAACAGATTAAAATTTCGAGGCAAAATAAAATGGGCACAATACCCACACTTTGCAAAAGAGAAAAAGTGTGAAAATAATGGAATTTCCTTGAAATATCTAAATCAAAAATTTGTAAAAAATATATTTTTATATCTTTTTTATAACGTGAATCTGTAAAAGATTTCAATCAAACTTTTACAATTGTCTTAAAAATCGAAACAAAACAGAGAAAAAATAAATATTGAACTTTAAAATTATTTACCTCTCAAACTATTTTATTATTAAACCGATATTTCTGATTTTTTGCCGTGAGTTAATGCTTTTTAAAGGCAAGGTAAAATGGATGGATAGCTGGGCTGGAAAATGGGAAAAGCGGGCGTTGGCGGATGTTGCATGTGCATGTTGAATAATTTCACCTGAGTAGGCGTGGCTCGTACGCGTGTATGTATGTTTTCGGAAAGGATCCGTTGATTTTCATTTCATTGCATCGTGCATTTGATTAACCATCTGGCGCCGCCGTCATCTCTCGCCAAATTGAGCATGTCGCCCAGGCTCTTGGCAACAATTTTCGGTAGAGAAGCAAGGGAGAAAATGCAGATGAAAAACCGATGGAAACCCAGCACTACGCAGGGGATGCAAAAAGGGAAAATGCACAAAGAACAATTAAGTGCACTAACCAATTGAGAGGACTCAATTGAGGCCAACTGATCCGGCAATTTGCGTGCCAGGGAATTGGGTTAGTTCAGGATTTGTTGGGTAAACATTACAAGTACACAGTGAAAAATAAACTACAATGATAGGTTTTATAAATATAATACAAAAAAAAGTAAATATATTTCAAGTTTCAAACAACTTAAAAATTCTTTGCTTTTGTGTTTTTACAATTTTAAATCTTTTAATCTTTTCTAGTAACAGTCTTTAGGGGTTTTCTTTGCTTTTCTTGGCATTTTTAATTAGCATACAACAAGACAGATATGAAAATCTCTATCCGTCTAGTTATTCAACATTCCTTCCCTTCTGCTCTTTCTATTTCCTGCGGTTGCCTGGGTAAATGTTGAAATGCATGTAACATGGCAACCCTTGCTGTTCGTTATGACAACCTCCTTGTTTCTTGCTTTTTGGGTAGCAAACAATTGAAAATAAATTCAGACTGCCAGTAGAACTACGTCAGATAGTTGACAACAAACAATTCTAGGCATTTCGAAAACAGTCGAGAAAACGTCCCTCGCTTAAATAGTGATTTTCCAGGAAATCTGAAAATGAAAACCCAAGGAAAATATGGAGTGACAGCAAAGGCAACTGCACAAGTTCTTTGTGAGGATGTTAGAAATTTTAGTACACGCCGTCGCAATATTCTCTACCTAATGCATCGATATCTGGTGGAGAATGGATACTATTCTAGCGCCGAATCCTTGAAAACTGAAGGACATCTCTCCGAAGAATACGAATTGTGCGACAATATCGATCTGGATGCCATGTACCTAGAGTATGCCAGCTTTTTCAACTTAAAATTCGGTAAATACCCTAAGATCCTAAAGAAAGTGGGCGCCAAAATCAAAGTGGAGATGTCTGGAAAGGGGCAGGAAAAACCTGTAGTTAAGGATATAACAAAGAACGCCAAAACAACACCAACCACAGAGGCATCATTGGCCAATTGGCATATCAGTATGGGAGCAGCGACGGCAGCTCTGAATAATGAACAACCATTGCAGATTAAAAAAATGGAAACGGCTGTCGATGCAAATGGCCAAGAAACTTCGAATGGTTATGAAATCGAACATGGTCATTTGGGTGCCGACGATGCTCTATTCTCCTCCATGGACTGGCAATCTCTGGCTGAATTGGTCAAGACTTCTATTTTACAGGAGAATATAAAACTTAAATGGTCAGATGTTTGTGGTAATCAACGAGCCATTGAACTGATCAAAGAGGCCGTGCTAACGCCCATTGAATATCCACAATTATTTGCACATGGCTTGAAGCCCTGGAGATCGCTGCTGCTTCATGGACCTCCTGGCAGTGGTAAAACCTTTCTGGCTAAGGCCTTATATTCCGAGACCCAGGGTCTGGTTACCTTCTTTAATATAACTGCCAGCATAATGGTTAGCAAATGGCGTGGAGAATCGGAAAAAATCCTAAGGGTACTCTTTCATATGGCAGCCAAGAGAGCTCCATCTGTGATTTTTCTCGATGAAATCGAAAGTTTGACCTCAAAACGGGATAGATCCACAGATCACGAGAGTTCCAAGCGCTTTAAAAACGAACTTTTGCAACTTTTAGACGGCATGGAACACACTTTAAACGGGGTTTTTGTCTTGGCCAGCACCAATTTACCTTGGGACATTGATGAGGCCTTTTTACGACGTTTCGAAAAGAAATTACTAGTTCAATTGCCCAACGCGGCGGAAAGAAGTTGTCTGATAAGTCGTCTTCTGGGCAGTAGTATCTCGTTGAATGCCCGACTATTGGAACAGCTTGTTGAGATCTCTGATCAGTTTACTGGCGATGAAATACGACTGGCCTGCAAGGAGATCAGTATGCATCGCGTACGTTGTGCCACAAAGCTGGCTGATAGATCTACAGGTTTACCCAAAGAATCACAGGCTGCCATCGAAGCCAATGTGGAGAAGGCCTTCCGGCAGGTGCGCCCTTTGGGCCAGAAACTGTTGGCCAAACACGAACAATGGCAGCAGGAAAATGGCTCCTAAACTCGCTAAATTCCGCTTTCAAGTTTTAATACATATATATTTTGTAGAAAAATAAATAAATAATAAATAAATCTAATAAAATATTAACAAACAAAAATCATATTTTTAGTAATTCCCATTTTTGTTACCTGCCCGTTGTGCGTCTCCTGGCGCCGGCGATGGTCATCCGTGAGACATATCTCCGTATCCTTCCACTAGACCTACGTTGTGTGGTCACCGATTTGATGCTATATTCCGTGGCCGTTGAACTTCTTCGATCGCTGGTCATCAAATCGGAACACATCGATGAGGAGAGTATAGAAGCCGCTGATCGTCGTTTTCCGCCAGTAAATGTACCTCCGCCGCTCGACGATGTGGTGGTGGCGGAACTATCTGATCTAGAGAAGAGTGAGGATCGTTTGCTGCGACTTGATGATCCCGTACCAGTGGCATCTTGAATATTGCTATAGAACTCTTCCGTCTCTCTGTCATAGGTCTCATCTTCATCATCCTCATCCATGGGATCCACTTCGAAATCCTCACCCTCCGCCTCCGTGGCCATGGTATCACTTCTCTGACTAAGTGCCCGGTTACCACGATTACCACCATTCGATAGGGACGATGATTGTTGCTGCAGTTGATAGTACTCGTGGCAATCTCCACGAGAACCCCGAGATCTACTGCTTCCACTCAGATAACGATATGGTGCTGAACTGGAGTTGCTGGTGGTGCTCAGGGAGTGACGTTTGTTGGGACTTATTTCCAGAGCACTGCCGCCACCACCATTAGTGACCTCACCACCTCCACCGCCATCGCTGTCGCCACCACCAACACTTCCACTAAAGGTGACCTCGTGGAATTTTGAGGATTTTCGACGTGTCCTAGGCGTCATACCCTCATCACCGTTGTTTCCAAGCGATATCGATGGTCTCGGCCGATTGTTATTCTCACCCTTTTGCTCCTGATCTCTTCCCCGATTATCATCTCCGTTCTCTGGCATCAGGGTTAAGGCCAAGGCGGGTCGACCTCGTTTTCTGCTCCAGGGAAATGCCCGAATGAATGCAAAGATGATGAACAGCGTGGCTATCATCTTGCCACTAAATCTCTATTGCTTTCTCTAGAGAATCTTTGGTCCTCTAGAAAATTACACGCACATCCTTTGACATTTTTCTTTTGCCCTTGTCGTTTTAAGTTTATCTAAAATTTTCTATTTTTACTTTTGTCGATTTAATATCTGCACTGCCTCATCATTTTAATTAGTTCAATTTCGTTATTTTCAGTTCGTTTGGGTTTTCTATTTTTCGGAAAGAGAAGAGATAGCGAGATGAGATGGGAGAACGGAATCGGAAGTTCTGATGGCAGAAGGTGAAGAAGAAAAATAAGGGGGCTGCAGTTGACAGGCACGTGGCCCGAATGATGGATCAACGGTCAGTGCTGGCAGTCCGGGAAATTGTGGGAAAATGACAGCACGAGAGTCACATTTCCTGACTGTAGTTTTGTAGTAAAAACTTATGGTTCGTCAAAAATATTTACGATAATTATAAAATTACTTTATATTAACAAAAAACATATTGAAAAGAAAGCACACACACTAGTTATCTGTTAGGTAAGTAAATCTTTGCCTAGTTATAGTTGCAAACAAGGACTTTACAAAATGTACACTGATGCAGTCTTAAATATTATGTTTTATTCATGAAAGAAACTCAAAATCACTTAAAAAATCGTAATTTTCTTTTTGGTTTTGCCAAGTCACAGTGAAGAACAGTCACTGGTTGGTAAACACATTTAAACCCACTGCAAATACATTTTCCACTCTCTGTGTGTTTGCTATTTCCTGATCCACGCTTCATTTGCTTTTTGTTTATCTGTTTGCCACATATATATGTGCGAGTTTCCGTTCCAACCGACTGACAAACAAACTGAGGGAATAAACTGATGGATAAACTGCTGGATGGACGGACGCTTGTCTATCTTGCTGCGAGTGATTTTTATGCGCAATTTTGATGGCGCACCGAGAATATTATGATAATCAATGCACAATTATTGCACACACACATGCACACATCGGGATATAGGATATGGCGAATAAAGGACTCTAAGTGCAGGGCAACGTTTCTTTTTCTATATTTTGCCTCTTAAGAAGCATTTGTTAAGGTTCCCTTTTCCCGTTTTTTTTCTTCTCTTTTCCTATTTTTTTCTCTTTTGCCTTGTTAAGAAGACAACAAAAATTGTCCAAGTTGTATAGAGAAGCATACGCGATAACAGCAATAACAACAACAACAACAACGAGGGGGGCATTAAGGACCCTCAGAGGAGATGATTGTTGTTGTTGTTGCTGTTGTAGTTGCTTGAGCGGCTTACACGAACTGATGATGATCCTTACTACTATCTCTATATATCTCCGCCATCATTCAGCACAACCCTGCGCTGTTGACCTAAACTAACTACTTTTAAGTAGCCAGTATGACATTCTATATTCGGAAATTTTTTTGTCTTTGTTGGGGAAAGAATTTTGATTCTAATTTAGAGCCAAAATCTGGATTACAGATTTTTTCTGTCAGAAAATGAAATCATTTTTAAGGGTCTATATGTTACGACGCACAGCTTAAAGAAGGACTGTTTGGTAAAGCTAACGACCGAAACTAACTTTCCTCACCATTCGTTTGGTGACATTGGGAATTTTACATTTTTGCCTATTTTTTACATTTTTCGTAAGAGGCAACATCATCTAAATTTTGTTGGAAATTAAACTACGAGCTCAACGAGATATTAAATTCCGTATTCGGATCATTATTCGATTAATTATGGATACTGCCAGTTTGAGGAGGAAAATCGGCAAATGTCAAGTTGCTTTTTCGATAAGAGGTTACTCTTGAAAGCAAATTAGATTAACACTCATTTCAACTTAATCCATTTTCCTCACTATTATTTACCCGAAAAAAACGAAGAATTTTGCGGTAAATCTTAAACCAAGTCAATTGCATTTAATTAAAGTTATCATAAGGCAAGGATGGCAGGAAGCGTAACAAATTATAAGGGAGGCAAAAGATGATGAAGCTGTTGCAGGAAAACCCCTGGCAATTCTCCTATCCTTTCCTCCCTCCCGCTTCAGCACACGCACTACTTTTTAATTTGTTTAAATTGCATTAAAAAAGAAGAAACGAGAGGTAAAAAATAGAAATGGCGACCAGGAAAACTTGCCACGAAGAAGAGCAGAAACGAGAACCGGGTAAGAAGTGGCATCTAAAGTGAATTAAGCACAGCAAAAACGCTTTTCTTATATCCATTTCTATATATATATTTATATATACTTGAATATATATATATATACATGTATACTGTGATGTCCAAGGAAAGATGGGAAAATAATTCTTAGCCAAATGGTGATATACAGCAAAAAGTTCCATTTAATTAGCTGGAGTCTCCAGTGGAGAGCTTAAACTTTAAGCAAATAAAATATGTTTTCTTTTGGATTTGTAGTCAAACTAAATTATGTGATATCGAGGCTAATTTAAAAGTAATTTATGAGTAAAAAAATGAAATATAATATTTGTATTCATGTGGAACTTATGCCTTTTGGTCATATATTTGTTTTTTTTTAATGATTTTAGTAATAAAATATTTGTGTCAAAGTTAAATATAATTTTTATATGAAAGAGAAGATTATAATTTAAAAAGCTGTTTATATAATGTTTATATAAGCAGTACATATTTTGTAATTTCTAAGTGCTACATATTTCTTTTTACTATTTGCCAATTGCCTTTGCAGCGCCACCTACCGTGAAGGGGCTGCGTCACAGGTGGCACTGCAATAACCTTCGAATCCTTAGCTCTCAGAGTTCCCCTGCCTCACGCTCCCTACTCACCCCCTCTCACCCAAATTCCTTCTCAATCTTCACATCTCTTGTGGCTGGCTTATCGCCCCCTTTTTCTAAGTGTTGCTAAACAAGCTGGAAATAGGGCCGTGCTTTCTCTGCTTTTTCCTTTCGAGCCAACATCACCCTTTCTCTTCTTGATTTTTATTTTTTTTTTTTCAAGGAATGCCTTGGGCCCTGTTTGCTACTTTCACAGCGACTGCGCCTGTTCACACATACACATAAACACAAACAAATACACTGCCAGTGGCACACAACCATATATTTCCTTTCAAAATTTTGTTTTCCAGCTCTCTGTTGCCGTTTCTTTTTTTTTTTTTTTTTTTTTGCAACTAATTCCACTTTTGCTAGGCACATACTTGTACAGCTGTGGTCAATAGTTTAGATAAAATTATCATAACATTATAAACAAATTAAACATTATAATTATTTATTAATTATAAACTATATTATAACGAAAGATTAAAATGATGCGTATAACAGAGAATCATATAATAGCAAACTTAAAAATACATTTTTTAGGAACTTTCTTTTCTCATATAAAAACTATACAAATTTGAAGAATTTGAAGAATTTGAAGAATTAAACTAAATTAAATAAATTATCCAGTTTAACGGAAAGACAAAAAGTATAACATAACCAAAAAGAACTTTTCCATTTAATAATATTCCTATAATCCTGTCAGCAACTGTGTGTGTGTGCAGCATCACCCTGCGCCCTTTTTTTTGTGCCCACTGCCTCCTTGTTGTTATTGTTGCTTTCCTCTCATGGGCTAAATTTAAGTAGCAACAAATCACTTCATTGTTTGCGTGTTTACATAATATTTATACATTGTACTTGTGTGCGCCACCCTCATGCCTGTCTCACTCTCTGTTCGCCCTCTCTCCTCCCTCCCCGGGAGTTCAGTTGAGACAGTGTTTCATTAATAAAAATGCTGCCACTGTCCCCAAAAGAAGGAAAAAAAAAACAAAAGCAAAAAGAGAGCAAAATCGAAATACGAATCCCGTCAGACAACAAGAAAAACTTTCAGACTGCACGGCGTCACCACACAGAATAGAAACAAAGCCAAAAAAGGAGGAAACAGAGGAAAAAAGCTGACCAAATCGACAGCAGACAGGCAAAAAAAATTTAAAAAAAAGTAAATCAGAAAACTGGAACAAACAATAATATACGAGTATATTCTTGGCCAGTAAATACTGTTGTAGCCTGCATTTGAACAAATTTCTTTAATGATTTTTAAAGAAAT